CCACCCTCCCCCTGCCTAGTGACAACCAGGGCTCCCTGGAATAGCCGTTGTCCAGACTCAGCCCTCCCAGCCCAGCTGGCCCACGGGCCTCCCCTCCAGGAGCAGGTTTTGGCCCACAGCCACAGGGGGCTTGGCCCTGGGCCGGTGAGCCAGGCGGTCCCCAGCCAGCCCGCCCGAGCTGCCGGCAGCCCGCTGTCCTGAGATGGCCTGGACCAAAGGGCCCAACTGCAGTTACTCAGTGACAATGAGGACACGTTGTTTGCCGTGGCCACGGGCCAAGGGCTCCGACTGTGGTCTTGCCTCGCCTCCGCCTCGAGAGACATCTGGGCAGGGGGCGTGACGCCCGAGCCCCTCCCGGGGTCAGCTGCAGCCTCAGCTCTGGCCAATCTGCAGGGCGAGCTGGCCCTGGTCACGTGGTGCCTCCCCCAGGCTGGCACTCCAGGCCCCAGCTATCCCCTCACCTGATTTCCAGCAGCCCCCCATCCCCAGCCAGCCTGAGCATCCTCAGGTCCACCAGATCCCACTGTTTCCTCCCCCCTGCTTGGAGACCCTCACCTCCCGGCCTGGCCACCGGATCTACAACATCCTGCGGGTCTCACTGCAGCGGCGCCTCCCCCGGCGCCCCTCCGGTGCGCCCAGGAGTGCTCTCTGGGCTCCGGGTCCCTCTGGCCCTTTCTCGGAGCCTACATGTTGTCACCTGTAAAACAGACACAATGATGGTGCCTCACACACCAGGTGGTGGCGAGGATTGGATGGATGAGACAGTAAATTCCAGCCACTCACATCTAGCAGAAGCTCCATAAATGGTGGGTTGATTATTATTTGTATTACTGCAGTGCTTCCCATCACTCTTTTCTTCCACCCTCCCCATGAACGCCACTGTTTCCTGAGCTCTGCCTGCACCCTCTGGCTTCTCCCTCTCCCCACCCACCCTGAGCAATCTTACCCATGCCCAAAACCTTGGCCACTACCCACGGCTACCCCCACTCGATTCCCCTCAGATCCAGCATCCCCAGCTCCATCGCATTCTCCATCTCCTCCTGACCCAGTGGACTCTGCGACTTGGGTCTGGGAAATCACTTCCAACTCCACTCGTGGTAGTAATAATCCTATATTATTTAGGAATGCATTGGGCTGCAAATAATAGAAGGCCCAGTGAACGGTGACTTAGCCAAAGAGGGGTTTCTTTCTCCAGCATAACAAGGAGTCTGAAGTCTGTGGCTGCGACGCTGGTCCCACTGTCCCGGAGCCAGACCCAGGTGATTTCTCTCGCCTATGACCTCATTGCTGCAAGAAGGCTGCCCTGGCTCCAAACACCAAGTTCGCAAACAATGTCCAGAGGCAGGAAACAGGAAGAGGGGCAGGGACAGCTCCCCACCTCAGGGAGGACACAGCCTTTCCCTGAAGCCCTCCAGTGAGTGTCCCCCTCGCACCTCTGTCCCCTGAGTCACACTAGTCAGGCCCGGCTCCTGTGGCCACCCCTGGGCAGCAAGGCGGTCTAGGAAGGCAGTCTCCTATGCCTTCATAGGAGAATGGTGATCGGCCATTCCCAGTGAACGGCCCCCCACGTACCCATCACCCATGCCAGAATCTGGACTCCCCCACCCCAGCCTCCGGCCACCATCTACCCCACCTCTCCATCCTCCTCCCCACCAGACCCTAGACAAGGTCCCAGGGCAGCAGGTCAGGATGCACATGTCCACACGAGGCTGAGGCGGGAGCCAGCTGAGCGTGACCACCGGGGGAACCAGAGCACGTTCCCCCCGGGACGTGCCGTCCCACCTGAAGGGTGAGGAAGCCCGTGTCGACAGACCTGCTCCCACAGCCGCTGCTGAGGTCTAGCCCTGCGGTGGGACAGGGGGCCCTTGATCCTCTGCTACTTGTGACCTGACCCACTCCATCAGGCCAAGTGACGCTGGTGCCAGGGGTGGACGGTTGGGGCCTGGAACGCAGGACAAGGCGAAGGACCGCGGGTGGGAAGTCAGCTCCCTTCCGATCCCCCCAGGGCACGGACCTCCTTCCAGGAATTCCACTCCTGCATTCCCGCCCCAGCCCTCCCTCTAAGCCGTCACCAGCACTCCCCTCACCACCCAGCCAGCCTCACCTCTTCCCAGGGACTAAGACCCTGTAAGGTGAGTGAAGTCGCTCAGTCGTGTCAGACTCTTTGCGACCCCATGGACTATAGCCTATCAGGCTCCTCCGTCCATGGGATTCTCCAGGCAAGAATACTGGAGTGGGCTGCCATTTCCTTCTCCAGGAGATCTTCTCGACCCAGGGACTGACCCGGGTCTCCTGCATTGCAGGCAGTCTCAAACCTCCATCTTTGCCATGGCTGCTGGCCCTGGGACCTTCCCTCGCTCTGGGAAGTCCCCTCTGGGGAGAGGGAAGGGGAAGCCAGAAAGCGCTGCCCCCAACCCAGGAGCAGCGCCAGCGGGGAGCAGAGCCGAGATGCCAGGGAGGCCCCTCCACTGCTGCTGGAGGCCACAGCTGAGCATAGGGGGAGGAGGAGAACCAGGGAGAGAGCACGGATGGACAGCCCAGCCCATCACCGGAGGGTGACAGACGACAGTCCCAACAAGGAAGGAGCCAGATCCTTAGAGCTGCCAGGGCCAGCTCGAATCCCCCCATTGACTCTGAAACGCCACTGCAAACTCAGCAAAGCCACTCGCCACCCCGGGCCTCAGTCAGGAGAATGGGTACAGTCACGCCTCCCTCGCAAGCTGGCTTCAAGGAAAGTGCAAGGTGGTGGACACTCTCAGAAGGTGCACAGTCGGGCCGGGTCCCAGGTCTAGGGGCGGGTTAATGAAGCAGTGGCCACCCCAGCCTCCCGCCGTGGGTGGGCCTCCCCACGGCCCACCCCGGCCACCCTGCCCCGCTTCAGAGTGCCAGGCCCAGCCCAGATATCCCGTCTGAGCGCCAGGCCGAGAGGGCCACTTCCTGCCCCGGCCCGTCTGCCCCACACCGCCGAGTCTCCGGGGCTACGAGCGTCTGTGTCCCCCTCGGCCACCCCACCCGACCAGCAGCTCCAGCAGACGGGCCCGAGCCCCCCCAGTGTCCCCACCCGGGGCTCAAGTCGGGCGGGCGTGCTTCCTCCCCCCCGCATCGTGACTGTCTGCCTCCTCCCACCCGGCCCCAGGGGTCTCAGACCCCCGTGGGACCCCTCCCTCAGGCCCCAGCCTGTTCAGGGACCGAAGCTCACAGTCCAGGTTGGGGTCCAGGAGCACCGCGGCTCCGGGGGGTCATGCAGCAAGGCCTTGCAGAATCTGTGACCACGTGGGGTGTGGCCCTGAGTCCTTTGCGGCCGTCCCTGGGAGTCCCCTCACTTCTCACTGCGGGTGGGATCTGAGAGATGGGACGACCGTCAGAGGCCACCCGAGGTGGGGAGGTGAAGACCCAGAGAGGGCAGAGCTGTGTCCGAGGCGGCTCAGAAGCGCACACCCGGGGCTGGGCGCAGAATCTGGGCCTTGTGCCTCCCAGCCCAGGGGGCCTCCTCCTCTCCCCGCTTCCCCTGCCCCCATCCTGCCGCAGCGTGGCCTCCCGGAGTAGAACCAGCCTTGGAAAACATCCCAGGGCCGTGGGAAGGTACAGGAACCCCGGGGCTAAGCCTCAAAGCCCGCTTTCGCTGGCCAAGCCTCAGTTTCCCCTTAGGAGGTGGCCCTCGGGGAGTCCCGGGAGACCCGCGAGATTTGCAGTGCCCCTGGGGATGAGGCCCGCTCAGGAAGGACGTGATCTGAATGCCCCGGGAGAGAAGACCCTTGCCCACCCCCACCCTCTGTGTGCCCCAGGCCATCTAACTGTCCCCTGGTGGTAGGGACGCGGTGTGGCCAGCCCTCAGGCCACGCCTGCCCTAGAAGCAGAGACAGGGGACCAGGCAAAGCCCCCCGCCCCCACTCGCCAGCCGCTGAGGCCCTCCCCACGCCCACCCCCGTCCCCTGGGATCCGAGGGCTGGTGGGGTGCCAGGGCTGCTGGTGAGGCCCTCAGCCAAGTGGTGCCTGCGTGGGTGTGGGGGGTGCCTGCCAGCTCTCCGGGTGTCTCACTAATTGAACCCTGAGGCGTGGGCCACTGCGGCCACTCGGGCCCACAAGGCAGATGGCAGGGGCAGCATCCTGGGTGGAGGCGAGGCCGGGAAAGCCCCAGGCGGCAGGGCTGGGCCGGGGACAAGCGGCCCAGCGCCCGGGCCGAGGACAGGACACTGTGTTTTGATTATTTCCAGTTTCCTGACCCCCAAGTAGTGATTTAATGTTCCTGTTTACTCCGAGGGCTAGAACAGAAGGCGGGACGGCTAAGCTGGCTTCCTTGGCCTCCTCGGCGTCACCCCCAAACTCCCAGCAGGGGAGCCATCAGAGGCTGCAGAAGGTCCCCAGGGGATGGCGCGGGGTCTCTGGGTACATGGGGGGCCCCAAATGGGTTTGGGCCTGGCCCTGCGCAGAGCAGGTCCCATAGGGATTAAAGGGTGTGACCCACCCACAGGAAGCGTGGCGGGGTGGCCCCCAGAGCTGGCCTGAAAGGCTGCCCGCCCATGGGGGCCAGTGTCCAGAGTTCACTTGCCCTGCTCACCAGGTCAAGGGCAGATGATCAACATTCCTGGGCCTTCCCAGCACCGTCCGGGGCTAGGACTTTGGCTAGGCCCCTGTCCCCTCTCGGAGTCTGAGTACATTTCAGGGACTGCTTGGCAAGCGCAGCCAGGAGCCTGTGGCTGGCTGGGAGGGACTCCAGGAGTCATAAGCCCAGCTCTTCACTCCCGAAATCTTGGCACGTAGAGGCCGGCTTGTAAAATCACCCGAAACACGGCCTTCCACAGCATCCTCCCAGGTTGCAGTTACACACAGCAAAGTGGGAGCTGGTCCTTTTTTTTTAAATGACAAGGTATCCGGCTTTTTTGCTTGAATCAATACAAGTTCATGTCATCATTGGCCAAAAAAAAAAAAAAGGCTAAAATGCCAATAGATTTCTGCACAGGGCCATTCTACTCTATACAGCCTGTTCCTTTATTCAGAAAGCATCCACCAGCAGTTTTCAGGTGCTGGGACCACAGCCTACGGGCTGGAGGAAGCATGCAGGTGAGGGCGGGGCCGTGACCAGGGCGGGGCTCGGGAAAGTTCCTGGAGGAGGACCCACAGCTATACAGAAGCCACGGGGCAAGTCCCACGGGGATGAGGTCTCGGAGGAGGAGCACGCAGCCACGGAAGCCTCAAGTTGCCAGATGCAGCCCAGGAGGGCTGCCCGGAGGACACAGGTATACCCAGCATCACATGACTCCTTCTCCCCATAAGTTACGGGGGGAGAGACAGCAGAGTCACAGAGTGCAGATGTGAAATTCAAGGATCCCAGCAGTCCAGGGGCCCCCAAGCGCTCACAGGGACCAGCTTTCTAGTCTTTCAGCTGGCAGAGCCCAAGATGCCAGGAGGACGGTGTCTTCCAGGGACCATCCTCGCAAAGGGGAGCACAGTGTGCCCTCCTGCCCAGCCCTGACCTCACTAAATCCTGGTGCCCAGGAAACTGCAGCCCCAGCCCCATCTCCACCTCTGACACCCTGGGGGACCAGGAGCTCCATTTCACCCTCACTGAAGCCGGAGTCAAGCCCGAGGACCCCTCCAGTGGCCCACCACCCACCGCAGAGGGACGTGGTGATGAGCTGGTGTCTGGGGCCAGGCCCATTGCGTGGAGAGAACTCACTCCTGACCCCCCAGACTGCAGAGCTGGACTAGAACCGAGGGCCCCTCAGCCCTCCTCGGCCAGCATTCACACCACCCTGTGTCCAGTCCCTGCCCGGTGTTGCCACAGCTGTGTGGCTTCAGGCAAGTTCCCTGACCTCTCTGAGCCGGGGCCCATGATGCCTGGATGCGAGTGAGAGTCAGTTGTGAGCAGACGTGAGCAGTCCGAAGTGGGCGTTGAGGTGAAGGTGGTTCTGGATAAAGCTGTACAGAGCCACCCCAGATGGAGACTGAAGAGTTGTGGGCAGGGCTGGGCTCTCCACGTGCTCAGAGACAGCAGGCCAGGTGCACGGACACCAACTCATCTCCAAAGCCCAGTCCTATCCTCTCCAGTCACCCTCCTCTGAGGCCTCCGTGGCAGGAATGATGAGAGGCGTTCGGCAAGTGCCCGGCACATAGTAGGTGCTCAGGAAACTCCCTCAGGAGCCCACACATGACTGGGGACCACTCCAAAGCGACTGGACAGTGTGGCCCCCAAAGCTGAGACGCCAGGCCCCGGAGGTCAGCAGTCACTGCCCACGATCCCTGCCCATGATCCCCACCCCAGGGTGACCCCCAGGCATCGCTGGGTTGGAAATGCCAGGCCAGGGCACTGGGGGGGCAGAGTGAGAAGGGGGTGCTGTTTGTGGAAAGAAGTGGAACAATCGAAGCCAGCTCGTTCAGAGTTAGAGTCCCTTTTTCCAGAGTGGTTGTTTAGAAGGGAAAAAACATTGTCCAAATCACAGCCGAGAAAACCTGCAATTGCCAGAGAAACGGGAGTTGGTGGCCAAGAAGGATTGCAAAACACTGGCCCTGGGGAAGAGCGGGCCTGTGCCAAGGCCCACAGAGCCGGGCTCGGGGCACCTTCCCGGGCGCTGGCCTGGCCGGGAGGCCCAGAGTCCAGACCCCCTCATCCCAGCCATCCCAGCCCAGAGCCAGGGACACGAAAAGACACAACCAGGTGGTCACAGGACTTGCTGGTTTGCAGCGATCCCCCCTGCAGACTCCTGGAGAGCCTTCGGGAGGAGGGTCCTAGCGGCAGGAGGTCAGGGAGGGGAGGGGACAGCTTAGGGGTGACCAGAGCAGCCTCCGGCCCCAGTACTGGGCCCAGCGTCCAGGACCGTGGGCGGAAAGCATGCTGGAACTGGGGGCAGGGGGCAGTCTGCAGCCACCAGGAGACAAGAAGGAGCCAGCCACTGCGTTTCTGTCCCCAGGCTCCCAAGGCCCCCACATCGCACCCACCGCCCACCCAGTCCAGCCCTTCCCTTCCTTCCAGCAGCCCTCCTGCTCCACAGGACATCCTGGCTGTCCCCTCCGCCTCCAAACTGGGCAGGGCCAAGCGAAGGGTCATTTCCTGGATCCACCAGTCCGAGAGGTCAGGTTCCCCAGAGCAATTCTGCTCTGAGATCCGCTCACCTGCTCAAGTGCCAGGCCCCAGGGATACCATGCACGTGCCATCCTTGGCCTCTGGTGAGGAAGAGAGACATCCAAAAGACAGCTACATGTATAACTAAATGGCAATAAGTAGCAGATTGTCTAAGAAGGAGACCTTCTGGGGGACCCCTCCAGGGGGGCCCCTCCAGGGGCCCAGCGGGTCTCCCTGGGCTCTCGTGTGTGATGACAGCCCTGAGAAATCACCCTGGAGTGGGAAATCCCTGAATACTTGCCTGACTCAAGGGGTGCCAACCCTGAGGCACAGTGTATGTGGCAGGGTCTTCCCCCAGCAGGAGGTGTGCCCATTTTACAGAAGGGGGCACTGAGGCCTGGCGAGACAACATCACCCAGAGAGCCGGACACAGAGCGTGCTGCCCCAGGTGGACACTGTGGTCACCTAACCCTGGCTGCTGCCCCTAGGGTTCTCCTGGGTGACAAGCAGGGGGCCAGGAACTAAGGCAGCCGCAGCCCATCGGCGCCTCGGTGGGATTCAGAGAAAGGGCATCCCTCGAGGTGCGGTGCAGCCTGTATCCCACCCTCGTCCCTCAGCCGGTTGCTTCCATCGGGCATGACTACCCCAGCAATAAGCCCAGCCACCACGGCTGCCACTTTTTAGTGTAGCAAGACTTGACTTTGTCCCTTGAAGTCCCCCCCCCACCTTAGTGTTTGATTCCACTATCTCGGGGGTGACAATTTGAGCAAAGCCTGTCCCTCCAACCAAACTGTAAGCAAATATAAGGGTGGGACCTGCATGTGTCTTGCTCACCTGTGACTGTTTCACTCACCAGCACCAAGCCTGTCTTATAATCCATGCTCATAAATATTTGTAGAAGGAAGGGTCCCTTTTAAACTTAAAACAACTCGATCAAGCCCATTTCACAGATGAGGTTGGAGAGGTGCAGTGACTCAACCCAGGTCACACAGCAAGAGTGGGGGACTGGACAGGAACCCTGGCCCCCAGAGCCCGCCCCCCTCCCCCCCTCCACTGGCCCACAGGCTCCAGCCTCCTGGGCTATTTCCCGCACGTCGAAAGCGGGTACTCATTCCCCAGCCTGGGCTGCGAGCCGCCTCCTGACTGCGGCAGCCTCTCAGCCAGAAGGAGAAAGGGGCAGCAGGGACGGGGCAAGAGCCTGGCCAGCTGGGGCTCGAGCCTCATCCTGCCCTGCTCACCCCTGAGCGCTTCCTTGGTTTCCCTTTCATCATACAAGAGGTTTTGTCCCAGTAATGTCCAAGACCCTTTCCTGTCTAACAGTGTGGTCTACAGTCTAGAGCAAAAATGTTTAAGTCTATAGCAGACACGCACCTACACGTGATTTCTACACTTAGAGCAAACATCACTAATCAATCACCAATCAATCTTCCCGACATCACTAATCACTCACCAATCAATCTTTCCCACTGAGTTCATACTGAACACTGGAATCCTTCTCAACACAGAGCACAAGGTAACCATTTGATCAAAGTTGACAAATAAGATAAAATCCCTGGTCTAGAGTGAAACTAGGTTGGGAGCCAGCCCTGAGGATCAAGCCTCATACTATTATTAAATAGCACCTACCTTTCCATTGTTTCCCCATCTATTTGCCATGAAATGATGGCACCAGATGCCATGATCTTAGTTTTAAGCCAACTTTAATAAACTGTGGAAAATTCTGAAAGAGATGGGAATACCAGACCACCTGACTTGTCTCTTAAGAAACCTGTATGCAGGTCAGGAAGCAACAGTTAGAACTGGACATGGAACAACAGACTGGTTCCAAATAGGAAAGGAGTGTGTCAAGGCTATATACTGTCACCCTGCTTATTTAACTTATATGCAGAGTACATCATGAGAAACGCTGGGCTGGATGAAGCACAAGCTGGAATCAAGATTGCTGGGAGAAATATCAATAACCTCAGATATGCAGATGACACCACCCTTATGGCAGAAAGTAAAAAACTAAAGAGCCTCTTGATGAAAGTGAAAGAGGAGAGTGAAAAAGTTGGCTTAAAGCTCAACATTCAGAAAACTAAGATCATGGCATCTGGTCCCATCACTTCATGGCAAATAGATGGGGAAACAGTGGCTGACTTTATTTTTCTGGGCTCCAAAATCACTGCAGATGGTGACTGCAGCCATGAAATTAAAAGACACTTACTCGGAAGGGAAGTCATGACCAACCTAGACAGCATATTAAAAGGCAGAGACATTACTTTGTCAACAAAGTTGCGTCTAGTCAAAGCTATGGTTTTTCCAGTGGTCATGTATGGATGTGAGAGTTGGACTATAAAGAAAGCTGAGCACCGAAGAATTGATGCTTTTGAACTGTGGTGTTGGAGAAGACTCTTGAGAGTCCCTTGGAATGCAAGGAGATCCAACCGTCCATCCTAAAGGAGATCAGTCCTAGGTGTTCATTGGAAGGACTGATGTTGAAGCTGAAACTCCAATACTTTGGCCACCGGATGCAAAGAGCTGACTCACTGGAAAAGACCCTGATGCTGGGAAAGATTGAGGGCAGGAGGAAAAGGGGACGGCAGAGGATGAGATGGTTGGATGGCATCACCAACACAATGGACATGGGTTTGGGTGGACTCCGGGAGTTGGTGATGGACAGGCAGGCCTGGCGTGCTGTGGTTCATGGGGTCACAAAGAGTCGGACACAACTGAGTGATTGAACTGAACTAAACTGAACTGCCTTTCCAAGGGAAGCACCATGAATAGAGATCTGTGACCATGCTGGTGAGGACTGTGTCCATGACTGCTGCCCTGCCAGGCTGATGATGCCAAGGCCAGCAGAAGACCCAGGCGCAGGCCAGGCCCGGCCCTGGATGCACCGTTAGAAGGTTTGCCCCATGGCCAAACCTTCTCTTTGATGAATCCTCTTTCTGAGCGTGCTTCCTCTTTTGGTCTCAACTCAGATGTCATCTCCTCCAGGAAGCCCCGCTCCAGTCTTCTCTCCCGTTCGAGTGAGGGGTCCCTCTGTTGCCTCCACTGGTCATCACTCCTGCAGTCGCTCAACAGACACACTGCGTCGTGTTTGCCTGTGAGCAGGTAAAGCCAAGGCCCCGACTCCAGGTCCAGCACCTGTGGGGATGACTCACCTGGTGAACGGGCAGCATCCGCTCACCACCTCTCGTACCAGGCCCTGGGGGTACCAGGCACATGCCATCCTTGCCCTCTGGTGAGGAAGGGAGACATTTCAAAGACAAATATATGTATAATTAAATGGCAATAAGTAGCAGACTGTCTAAGAAAGAGACCTTCCAGCGGGTCTCCCTGGGCGCTCATGTGTGATCACAGCCCTGGGAGCGGGAAGGATGCTTTGACTCCCTCCTTCCCTAGCCTTCCCAACCACCCCTTTGCAGAGCAGGCCCAGGACCCTGGGGGGAGTGAGGCCCAGGACCCCCGGGGGAGTGAGGCCCAGGACCCCCGGGGGAGTGGGGGAGTGAGGCCCAGGACCCCCGGGGGGGAGTGAGGCCCGAGGACCCCCAGGGGGAGTGAGGTCCAGGACCCCGGGGCGAGTGAGGCCCAAGGACCCCCGGGGCGAGTGAGGCCCGGGGACCCCCGGGGGAGTGAGGCCCGAGGACCCCAAACAGGAAGTGTAGCCCCTGATGCTTCACCCCAGCCAGATCCCTCCTTCCCCTGGACCGCTGTTTTCCCTGGATCCCACCTCCTCTCCCGGGGAAGCAGCTGCCCCCAGCCAGGCCCTTCTGAGTCAGCCCACAGCCCAGTCAGGACCAGAGGCCGCCCATGGGAAGCCGCCTGCCTTGGTTGCTACAGTTGGTCCAGGCCAATTGCTCTGGTGGCCGAGCCGGTCTCCTGGTGGAGAGGTGACTTCAGGTTGGCCAGGAAAGGCGGACAGGAGAGGGCAGGGCCAGGAGGCAACCCCCAGTGGGGCCAGCCCGGCCCGGCCCGGCACAGGAGCCGGCGGAGAGCGTTCCACCTGGGCGGTGGAGATCACTGCGCCGCGGCGGTGATGAGGACTCACCGCTCCCGCACCCATCCCCCTGCCAAATTGTACTTAATTATAATGACAGACGAGGCAGGCATCCACGCCAAGGCGCAGAACATGACAAACACTCGGCGGCTCCGCGCCAACCCGCCCCGCTCCCCCGCGGCGCCCGGCGTTCTGAACAGGAGGCCGAGACAGGGCATCTCGGGCCACCGGCAGCCCCCCGCAGCCGGCCCAGCCTGGACTCCTCGCTGGGCGCTACTGGGCAGGGCCTGGGGCCCCGGGCCCCGTGGTCACCGGAGACCCGGGCCCGACCCTTCGCCCGTCCCCTGCTGCCCCTGTCACCTTCCCTTCCTAGCAAAGCAGAGAAGCCGCCGCCCAGCCCCATGGGGGAGGGGCCGCCAACAGTCCTGGAAGACACCTCCCCGCCCCCTCCACCGGCGGCAGCGAGAGTCACCAGCCCAGCCCCACCACCCATTCCAGAGGCCAGCGGCTGCCAAGGGGTCCGGGAGGACCTGGGGACGCCCTCGAACGGGGAGACCTGGAGGGGTGAGGCCCTGGCTCGGCCTCCCCGCCCCGACCCAGCCTCCCTCTCTTGATGGGGGAGCTGAGAAGGGGAGGAGCAGGGTGACTCTCTGTTCCCTCCCCGAGAGAAGCCCCAGCCCCCCTCCCAGCATTACAGGCAGCGGGGAGGGGGCTGCATTGCACCCTTCTTAACCATCATCAGGACTGTGCCGGGGTCCAGCTCCCACTGCGTGGCCTTAAAACAAAGGACCCGGCCAATGCTCCCCACCCCGTCTGCCGGGAGGAGCACTGCAGGGTCTGAGGGACAGTAATGATAACCAACTACAGTGGCATGATGGGGCCTTTGTGCCAGAGTTGGACCCGCACACCAGGAGAGGACAGGCCACCCAGGCAGAGGGAACCACATATTTAGTCTCGAGAATCAAAGCCAACCGTGAACGCTCCTGGATGGACAGGAAAGCAGCTGGCGGGGAGGGGCTGGACGAGGGGCTGGGAAGACCCACCAGGGCCGTACCAGGAGGGCGGTGGTCCAGGAAGACCACTCCTGCCGCAGGTGGATTGAAGGGGGCCAGGCTGGGCGCAGGGATGGGATGGGACCAGGGCCCGGACGGCAGTGGTGGGAACAGACACAGGGGGTGAGCGGAGCCAGTGAGGAAGGCAGAGATGCCGTCAGGGGGGCCTGGAGACAAGGAAGCTACGGCTGGGAGAAAGGGCTGGTGTGCATGATCAGGTTGATGGTGGTTCTGCTTCTGAGATGGGCACAAGAGGTCAGCAGATATTGGGGGCGTGTTTCCTTGAGGTGCCCAAGGGCAGCTGGGTCCAGGGAGCACCTGGGCTTGGCACAGAGCTGTTAGCCACCGTTAACATGTAGCATCCGCTGGCACTTAGGTGTGGGCGAGATGGCTCAGGCAAGGGAGAGGCAGCGAAGACCTAGGTCCTGGACCTGGGGCAGAGCCCTGGGGGGTCCCAGAGCCCACGAGCCCACCATGAATGTGACGGGGAGAAAGGACTTCAGCGGACCCAGGGCCCCAGGCACCCTGGGAAGTGGGTGTGGGTGACAGTGCTAAATGCCACCAAAAGGAGGGGCCCTGGGCTACAGAATAGGGGGCCATACCCCTTGGATCCCTGCAGGAGGCCACTGCCCTTGCAAATAAGGAGAGCTGAGGACAGCAGAAGGTTGCAAAGGTGTGGGCAGGGTGGGCAAACTGCAGGGGCGGCGCACTATTCCAGGGCAGTAACTGCAAGCAGTTACCCCGCCCCAGGCCTGGAGGAGCGAGGCGAGTGATGAAGTAACTGGTACCTAGAGCCAGATGGTGAAGTTGGGTGGAGAGGGCTCTGAGAGATGCAGGAGATGGGGAGGATGCAGGAGATGGTGATGCCGAAGCTGGTAAGGATTCAGGAGATAGTGAGGATGCAGAAGATGGGGAGGATGCAGGAGATGGTGATGAAGGACAGAGCGGGGAAAGCCCAGTGGGTACCATGGCTGGGCAGCAGGAACTGTGGCTCCCACCTCCCCCACGCACCACGGGACAGAGGCTCGACAGGGGTCGGGGCTCAAGGCCAGAGACACAGGGGCGGCATCTGGATCAGATGGGTGTCTTGCTCAGGTGTGGAGGGCCTTGGACTCTCCTAGGGCTGGGGTTTGGTGGCCAGGTGGGGCAGGAGTGAGGGAGGTGAGGATTCACACGATGGGACCCGGGGCCCAAAGTGGCCAAGAGGGGTGTGACACAGAGGACTGGTGGGTAAGGGGAAGGTGGAGGGGTCAGGGGACAAAGAACCAGGCACAGGATGATCCGAATCAGGAACGAAGGATACAGAACGGAAAGGGAAAGTGTTACTTGATCGGTCGTGTCTGACTCTTTGCAACCCCATGGACTGCAGCCCACCAGGCTCCCCTGTCCGTGGGATTCTCCAGGCAAGAATGCTGGAGTGGGTTGCCGTGCCCTCCTCCAGGGGATCTTTCCAACCCAGGGATCACACCCAGTTCTCCTGCATTGCAGGTGGATTCTTTGCCATCTGGGCCACCAGGGAAGCCCTAGAGAGGGGAAGGAGATGCTAGAGGCACAGGTTTTCAGGGTCAGAAGGGGCTGGCTGTAGACAGAGTCTGCGTGTGCCAAGGGTGTGGTGGTGACATTGAGGAGGGTCATGGGAGACACAGGGGTGGCGGATTGAGAGGCCAGGTGGTGCCTGGGTAACCATGGAGATGTGGAAACGGGTGATGGCCAGTGGGGGGTGGGAAGAAAAACAGGCAGGATTGGGGGAAACTGGTGGCTGGATAAAGGGGTTCTGGCTGCAGGAGAAGCTCTGATAGGGGGTGGGGGAGCCGGTGGAGTGAGGGAGGTACCAGCATAGGTGACCTGGGGCCAGGAGACGGGAGCCAGGTCAGCCTCAGCCAGAGAGCAAGGGCCTTGTGGCCAGCACCCTGGGGCTCCCGGAGCATCACCAGCCCAGAGGGCCAGGTCGAGGCCCAGGGAGACAAGAATGGGTCCCCACCCACCCCCAGAGCCGGGGCCTGCAGGACCAGGACCGCCTGACACCGATTTCCTGCCCCCAAGACTGATCCTGCTCCTCGGAGGGCAGCAGAGAGAGTATCCAGGGGCAGGTGGTCCCCAAGGACCCATGGGACCCCCCTCCACCCCCAGTCCTGGCTCCACGTAGCCCACGGGCTCTGGCAAGGCTGGGCCGGGCTGTGCGGCAGGGCTGGGAAGTGGGGGCCGTGCGTGGTGGGGGCTGTCCCTGCGGGGGCGGGTGGATGTGCTCGCCTCCTGGGTAATTAGGACCACAGGGGTGACGGGTGCCTGCAGGGAGGAGGAGACGCTTGTGTCTCCAGGCAGCGTGGGCGGGGGCGGGGGGTGCTAATTAGCTGGAGCCTGGTCTCTGCGCAGAGCCTGGACGCCAGCCCGCGTCTGGCATCCTCAGCTCAGCCTGCGCCAGCCCCCCTCCCCAGTCTCACAGTGGCTCCCCAACTACCCCAGAACAGCCCCACCCCACCCCCAGCGGCCCAGCAGGGACGACCAGACGAGTATCCCTAGTATCCTCAGATTGTCAGCCATGTGGGGGACAGGGGTGAACACAGAGGTCATCGGGAGTGAAGAGGGGCCCAACCCACGCTGGTTCCCACCCGACGGGGCCATCCCTGCCCCGGCAGGTCCACACAAGCAGGCCAGGTCCAGGGGCAGGGAAGGCACTGACCCTCAGCACAGAGTGGGCAGGGGCACAGCCCGATCGCCGCGGCCCACGCCCCGCCCCGCACCCACCCCCGACTCTGGCTCTGGCCCCTCTGAGTTTCTGAGCTCCTGGGCCAGCCTGGGCCATGCAGGGCTCTCTGCCTCAGAACCTGCTCCATCAAGGGTCTGGGGTAGGGGTGAGGGGCAGGGGGGGCGAGGGTGAGGGGCAGGGGGGCAGTGATGTTTTTGAAAAGTGCTCCAGGCCTGAGCACATGTTGGGGGGTTCCCACGAGGAGCTGAACCAGGGGGATGCTTCTGACTGCATTCAGTAGGCGCTCAGTAAACAGTGACCCCCTGGCCTTGGCTCCCCTGGGGCTACAGTCCTCGGAAAGTCTTTACAACTCACTTTTTCCTGGTTATTAAAGCAGGTCCATGACATCGCTGCAGAAAGTGTGGGGAAATGGAGACAAACGCACAGAAGGGGACCCAGCCGTCTGGAATGACCAGGAGGGCGGGGCTGCTGACGGCCTGCAGCCGCATCCAGGGGGGCTTACAGGGACCCTCTGCTGTTCACCCGCACCAACCAGCTCAGCCAGCCCGGAGCCAGAGAGGTCCACAGTGGCCTTGACAGGCGAGAGGCCTGCGGTGGTGACCATAGCCCCACAGAAACCAGGTCCTCGT